ATTGTTACTAAACATCTAATGGATATAAAAAAAGAAAATAATTCTTATAAAAGATAGTTGTAATTATTACATGGCGCAGGAGACTTGTGATGAGTGAAATAACTGATGGTTACATGGTAAATGTGGTGACCAAAGATGAGTGTTTCCTAAAAATTTACCATAAAAATATTTTATAAGAATATAACATTTTTCAGGGAGTGAAAACTTCGTAATGAACTATTTTATTTTATTTTTAATTCATATGAATAAATAGTTTAACTTTTAGGTTTGAATATTTTTTTTTTTGTTTTATCACATTTTTTATTTTTTTAGTGTCACGGCAGAAGTAGATATATAATTAAATAATAGAAATATAATTAAATTTTTTTTTATTTTCACATTATGAGATGGGCATATAAACAGTAGCAAATCTAGAATTTAATTTTTTTTTTATTATAAGAGAAATTACTCTGGACAAAAAAGAATAAAACTATATAAAATGATGTTTTGTGATAGTTCTTGCAAGGCATATCTATCAACTGCCTAGAACAAAACAAAAATTAATTAGAGAAATAATAATACTTTTCTTTAAATTTTATTCATAACATATGCTTATATTTAGTTTAACTTTACATAAATTAGAATTTAAAAATGTTATATATTCTGATTGTTTAAAGTATTTACCTCAGATCATTCACAGAAAGAAATTTTTATAGGTACTCTCTTTCATAATTTGTATACTTATTCTTTTTCTTTTCTTTTTTTATCCAATAGATTTTTTTATAGGGGTATGAGTGCAAAGACTGGAGGAACCAACGTTGCAACAAACTATACATGAAACTAACAGAAACTTATACAAATTTTCTGATTGGCTCAGCATGTTTAACACTTGGCCTAATTGTAAGTACTTCAGTATATGTATGTTTTGTTTTGTTTTCAAATTATTTGTGTTTTATGGAAGCATTCAAATGAAAGTATCAAGTTATCAACAAATAACTGTACACGTGAGAGAATTTACATATGGCAAAAGACAATTATCAACAAAATTGTGAAATAATCATAGATGAATTCTTTGGAGTTTATAAAACCTTAACAGTCACACTGAAATCTATAATCATTCAGTTCAATAAGTTACTTTATATTGTTCATAAAATTCAATTACTTTTTAACTCTACAATAAACACTGTACTTCCTAACACCAAACAAATGGTGACATGATAAGACAAAGGGATCGAGACATTCTTGAACACATTGGTGAGAGTATCAGAAACAGTATAAGTCTGAATAAGTTATAGGAGCTATCAAAAGCTTAAAGAAATGCAAGGAGAGCAACAATTTGAATAAGGGAGCATGGATAGATTAGTGCGTGATTGGCTCCTAAAGCAACCAGCTGTGTGGAAAAATAATTGCTTTTTGATTTTCAATAAATGCTATTTTAAAAAAATCTGGTGCTCACAACACACAACTTTCACTTACCGCTCTACTTTGAATAAAAATTATTTTCTGGCAGTGTTGGGCTATTATAAAATTTTTGAAGTGCATTTTAAATGGAGCTAAAGCTTAAAGTTTACAGATAACAAATCATTAAGACGATTACAATTTCAAAAAGTCTATTTATTATATTTACGGTAGGCAATAAAAATCTAGTTACTCCTTCTGTCTGCTTTTATAAACCACACAACTTCAGTCTCTGAGCCTTACAGTTGACTGAATGACTTAACTCCAATTTCAACATTTTTGAGTAATGTCATTTTAGTGATATTTCTAGTTGGAAAAGTTAGTTTATTCAAGAGTAGGTGATTGCAGTGTTGAAATATAGAACTGTGAATAAAGGTATAAATTTTGCCTCTAGAAACATCACTAATTAATAATAGAGCATGTTGAAATTGGAGTTAGTCATTCTGTCAACCGAAAGGCTCATATATGGCTTGAGAATTTTGAATGAACATCTGAATATTTAACCTGTAAATGATTATGAATTGTAGAACTATTAGTTATTAAACTGTTACTTTTCCATTGTAAAGTTTACTAAAATGAAATTACTAGATTTTCATTGCCTGCCACCATGGATAGGTCAAAAGTTGTCACACTAATTGTAAGTCAAATAATGTTGGGATTTCACAAATGGGAAATTCATCAAATTATTCACTAATTAAATTTGCTAAAAGGATATTTGATGATCTTTTGTTATAAACGGCCAATAAATACCTAATTACTTAAATATGATACCATATCTAGACTTATTAAACTATAGTAAATTTATTTAAGGTTATAAACATATCCATGAAATATTATTATATTTCACTTCTTCTTTCACACAATTACAATGAAATAGTATTTTAAACAATGGCATTGCCTTAATTTTTTGGATTTTAAATAATTTTTTTCAAACTTAAAAGCTTACATTTAGTAAGAAAATTTCATTTAATTTTCTTGGAAACATGTGATTAACATTAAATAATGTTAGTTTTCTCAAATTATTATTTATATTTTTTTCACCACTCTCCATTACCTTCTATATTAGATATTATTTTTTCTAAAATTCTCCGCTTTCCAACGATATATTACACCAATACCTTCTTATTGTTATTTCATTTACACCAATACCTTCTTATTGTTATTTCATTTTTGTCAGATTCATTTTCAACCTGGATAAGCATTTCTCTTTTTTTCTCCAGTTTCCAATTATCATATTCTTTCAAATTTCATATTTAGGCATTTTTCATAGTTACTATCAATAAAATAAAGTTAATGTTTTCAAATAAACCATATAAAAGGTACTTTTATTGGAAGATGTACATGAACATTGGGCATTTAAGCCCTGTAAAGTGACATCAATGGGGATAAGACCTAAATGATATTAAAGACCACTGAATTATACAATGATACATCGAGTTTTATAAAAAAACCTTAGAGCCATTTTTGAGAAAGTTGAAAAATGTGTTTCATATAAGTATAGATATAAGTGGTACTTCCGGTTAGTCGATTTTAAGGAAAAAGTTGCTGTAACATCTAAGGCATATACCTATCTTAAATACGTAATATCAGTTTTGTACAACTTTTTGTTTTTGAGCTAGACTGTTAACATACACAGACACACAGGCCATTATACGAGACTTGGTTATTTGGACTCAGGAGACCTCAAAACATGTATTTCCGCTGAAAACTCAGATTCAAACATTTTCACGATTGCAATACTTTCCCTTACAATATATTACATATATAGGTAAGTGTAAATAAAAAATGGACTGCCATTAATATTTGATCCATCCTCAAAATATTTAATTAGTAGTACTGAGAGTAAGAAAAAAGCAAAAACATAACTTAGTACGACTATTACATTCTGACAAAATATAACAGAGCAATACTTTGGTAATAAATTAGTAAGGATATTAATTTTTTTTATAATTCTAATCAACTGACGTATAGCTAACTGATATTAAATTTATTGTAGATAGGTTTCATAATTTGCAGTATATCTTAAGCCTAAGAAATAGTGACAAATATTCATCTAATCATAGTTATTATATTAATTAAAACTAGAAATTATGGTATTTCAGATTATTGTGGGCCCAATACTGGTTCTTGTTTACAAAACAACGGTTCAAAAGATTACAAGAGTTCAACCGACTACAGAATATTCTATTCAATCAATACCAGAATATTCTATTCAATCAATACCAGAATATTCTAATCAATCTATACAACAATATTCTAATCAATCTCTACAACACAATTCTAATCAATCTATTCTTAAAAATAATAGTCGATCAACAAAGGTAAATTTTGAGGATTAAAATCAATAATCATACCTACACTGGATGCATTCAATCAGTTCAAAGTCGGAAGTAATAAAAATTTGGATTCAACCACAACAAATAAAGGTAAGTAAATCATTTTTTCCAAAGTCTTATAGTAATAGCAAAGTAAAAAGTAGACTCAGAAGAAGGTGATATAGATGAATATCAACTCTGTGAAGTAGTCAAGATAATTGAACATAATAAATCTGTTAATCCAATCCAATAATTTCCATTACTTTGTTGATTCTTTGATGTTGCCATTATTTTATTATTGTCTACTTTGAAAACCACTTTATTTTATTACTACCTAAGTTTATTCTATTATTTTATAAATCTTTAACTTTGTTAGCGTTATGTTATATGTATTAACTTGGCCACTGCTATTTTATAATTCTCAGCTTTGTTACCGTTACTCAATACTTTCTTTATGTTATTATACTATACCTTTTAACTACATATTCTTACTATTACCATCTACTGGTTTCTCATATTTATGTTTACTTGTCTTTTCTTAGCCCCGATGAAGACCTGAAACTTAGGCCGAAATGTCAGTACAAATGAAATAAAAATAAATATAATTTATTTATTTTTACTTTATTCTTTTCTTGACTGAACACCTCAACTAACTTTTCTTCAATAATTGAAAATAACTGTTAAACAAGAGTTTGAAAATGATTTTCGTTTAGCATGAATTAGCAATTAGTGAACTATTTTATACCAATTATAATATAAAGTCATAAATATTAAATTTATAAGATTATATACTTGTGTAAGAAATCAGTGATTTCTTTCATCTTAGGCAGATACAGATGGCCAAGTTGTGGAAGAGCAAGGATAGTCTTTAACAACTGGAAAAGATTCATCTGCGACTTGAGTACTTCGAACCAACAAATGGACAGGAATTTTTGGTCAAGAAAAAATTTTTTATTTTTCTATAAAAATAATGACAACTATTTTTGAACTAACTGCAATGATTTATTATAACAGATTATGTTTTGGCCAAGTTATCCATGCTCTCCTACCTTTGTTTATTTTATTTGTTTTTGTTTAGTCATTACTTTTGTTTTATACCTATGTTTGGATCTTAAAGATGTTTTAAAAAACTTAATAAATATTTTGAATGGAACAACTATGAATTAATTTCAATGGTAAACAAATTGTCATACTATTTAAGTATTTTGAATTACTTCTCTTTTCCTTTAACAGAAAATCAAATGAAAATATGTTAAAATAAAATATTTATTAGATATATTCCATAATTTCTTTTAAATTATAAATAAATAACATACATATTAATATATAATAAATAGAAACAAATTTTACAATAAAATAAAACAATTATTTTTAATAATCTTATGAATTTACAAAATCAATCTAATTTTCAGATTGATTATTGTGCTTTTTGCTATCCTCGACGTCTGTCCTTTCAGGAGGTGAAGGATTATTTCCTTCTTGTAAACAATGATCAGTGTCATTTTTAATAACATCATTATCAGTTTTAATAACAGATGATTCCTTAAGACTATCTTGTTTCTTAAAAACAGTATCATCAACATCTTTTTCCATCCCATTTTCTGTTTCCACTCTTGGCTGTTCACTTGTACGCCTGCTCCTCTGTCCACTTTGAGAAGCTAAGGAAGCGGAGGACAACATGAGTGCAACTTGTTCAGCAGTGGGGCATCCAATTTGTATTATTTCATCAGCTGAATAACTGCATGATATCAATATTTGGTGAAGACGTGTGAACCATCCAATAACGTTATTCTAAAACAAAAAAACAGAGTTAATTATAAATTTATGAAAATGAGATTTCATGTTTAACATGAAAATGTTATAGTCTTTAGAAAATTGAGTTGGATAACACAACATTGTCTCTATTCAGTGAATAAAAAAAAAAAAAAGGATTCCAATATAAAAGAACAAAACCATAAACTCAAGCCCTTTGAATTTATGTATATCACATACTTCCTCGAAAAGAGGCTGACAAAAAGTAACAATGGATTCAGAATTTTATTTGTGAATAACTCAAAAAGTATACCACAATTTTTGGTTCATTATACTCATGTATATTTAAAAACCTACTGAATTCACTAAAAAATGAAAAAAAAACAATTGAAATCAAAAACAATTATGTCCGATTAGATATTTTTTTTCTCTATTTTTTAGGAGAGCTCTATTATAACAAATTTATATTTGGCACATAGCAAGTGTAAAATTTTGAAATATTGTATATACATTTTATTACCATCTGGGCTTTCATTTCTAAATTGTGGCAGAAAAATGTGTGCCACTATAGACTACACTGCCAAAACTGATGCAACGAGTTTAAAGAAAATTGGCTAAATTCTTCTTCTTGAAGCCATTTTGATTTATATATCACACAAATTGTAATGAACTGTTTTGTGTTGTAAGTACATATATGAATGCAGAATGCAGTAAAAACATGCAAATACTTACATGTATAATTATAAATTTCTTATAATAGAATTTTTTATAGTTAGAAATTTCTTATAGTAGAATTTCGATCACTGGGTGAACAGTAGTACACATAAATAAGTATCAATGAGTTAATTGTACACAATACAGCCATTTTTAGTATTTTAATTAATGTTATTTTATTACCTTATAAGTAAACTAAAGTGAAGGACATATGACAATCAATTAAAAATATTTTTTGAAGATCTCATTCCATTTAACCATAATTTACTCAAAAACATTACCTCACCAAAATAATTTTTAAAAATAATATAACTTTTCAAAAATTAACATCATAAACCCTTTTTCAGAGAACTTAGCTCAAATTGTTTCTCATGGTCAGTTTAAAGAGTGCTGCTGTAGTTTGGTAAAAAATTTCCAACATGTTGGAACCAAACTCCTTTGCATGGTTGCTTCTCAATTAAAGTGAGTTCATACAAAAAGTTATGAGAAACTTAACCATATAAAAGGGCCTTAATAACAATAATCAAAGTTTCTTTTATACCTTCCCTTGAATAAGTCAATGACTTTTGAAAAGGAGAAGATAAGGATACAAATATGAACTTTATATTACTGTTACTTAATATCTTTGAAATATAAATGTAGTTAATATCTTCTTCAGGAAATTGTAAGAAAACCAATATTAAAAGGCATAACAATTTTTTAAACCTAATTTTAGAGCTCAATAATAAACCAGAAAAAAAAATTAATTTTTACATGATTTTGATTTGTCTGTCTTCATTATCCCCAAAAAGGATCAAGTTATTTTCTATGGTATTAAACCAAAGAATAACTAACTTTAATGTGGAGATCCACTATTATCTAAATGTCGGTCATGTGCTGACAAAATCCCTTTTTATGCAAAACCATTCAAATACACTTAATTTTCAGAACGACTACAAACCCTTTTACTGATTGTTCCCGATAGAACATTTAAAGAAACATAAAAAATTCAATATATTAATACTATATATTGTTTTATTACCTTTATTGGTGTATACAAAATGAATTCAGTATTTTTATTAGCTAGATAAAGATGCATAGTAGCCTGAATACTTCCAAGCTTTGATTTTATTCCTTTCAGACCATTTTTCACTAACTGTGCCACTTCTGTTGGCTTACCCCATGATTCTTTTTGAACAGCTTCTTTAGGCACCCATCTCTCTGCCTGCAAATAATAAATTTATAACATAAAAATATTAATTATAAATATAATTCAATATATAAAGAAGAGAGTGCTCTCAGAGTATTGCAAATCTGTCAGAATCATAGACAGAGATTTGGAAAAAGTTGAGCCTTGAATTCGATATTTATGTTATTTATCAGATCAACAAAGTTCTTTCAGTTATGTTGAGAGGGGACGCTTGTTATACTGAATTCTAAGATCCAAATATTATGTATTTTTTATTGGCCATACTTAGAACCTAAATGTACAACCACTACTTCATTTCTAGTTATGCCATGAGACTGCTAACGTTATGAATAAATCTGTTAGGAATTAATATATCTATCGAAAACTCTAATTACAACCTCTTTGCTCACTTATTTAAGGCTTTGCTTCAAAGGAATGACTCTCATACTGTTGTTACTCATTCTCAACCAAACAGAGCAATAGATTACACATGTTAATACAGTTATATCTTTATATTTTATAAGTAAAGCATTTCAGAATTTTAAACAAATTAATAGTCTGTTTTTACACCTTGAAATATAAAACCACATTTCAAAAATAGCTAGCTGCCAAAAAGATAACTCAATGGTTATAATAATCAGAACATATCACCGCAAAAACACAATTACCTTGTCAAGAAACTCTTTAAAACCGGGCAAAAGATGGTTCGTAGCATGAGCAATAAAGGCCTCACAAGATGTTTTCAACCGTCGATCCACATCTTTCCTAGAGTCTAGAAGATGTTCTCTAACTTGAGGAGAGCCATCCAACAGAAATTGAAGAAGAGCATTGTTTGAAGACAGGGAAAAGACCTGCGTTCTTTTGTTGTATAACTGGAATGCTGTGTTTAAAAAAAATAATAATGATCAATAAGAAGCATCAGCCTAAAGCTTGCAAAAAAAAGTTCTTATTCCAAATTCTACGTACCTGCAGTTTTCATTTTACTGAAGTCTAGAGCAACCTCTTTTACAGTAAAATCAACTTGAAATGGTGCTATCTGCTCTCTCAATATCAGAAGATGTTTAATTTGGAACATTTCTCCATCCAGAGGTGACTAAAAATATATTTTGAACTTGAAACAAATGGAAATTAATTCATACACAAAATAAGTTATTAATTAATTACATTCATTCATGGGGACAAATGTCACAATTAACATTATCTCTCAATATATGATACCTTATTAGCAGATATTTGTGCTGCTGCCACTGAAATTGCCTCAATGCATATAGAAATAGCTTCTTGGGAAATTCCTTGAAATGTAGATCTTTCAAGACACCTATACAATCTGCTAAGGCATAGAAGTGTCCTACGGAGTGGTGGGTACCACATTCCATGAAGATCTGCTGGACTACCTGAAAAGGTGATATTAATTATTACATATATACAGAAAAAAATAATAATAAGGTGTTAACTCTCACAGGGAAATATTAGTAATTCACAGAGAAAATCAATGGTTTAAAAAAATTGTAGATTCAAATGGTCGCCTCAGTCTCTATTATATTTTATAACCGCATTTGTCTTCATTTAAGTCAGGCCACCTGACAAACGAAAACCACTTTATTGGAATGAAACCAGAATAGTAAAAGTAATGTAAATGATAACCAATCTGTCAATACAAGACATCAGTTGATTATAACAAACAATCTACATCTTTCTATTACCCACTAAGATCATGATAATTAAGAAATTGTAAAATAAGAAAAATTAATAAAAAGATGTATCAACTCCTTAGCAATATGTGTATATAAAGAAAAAAAAAAGCTGTAAAAAACAAGAAATAAAATAATTAACCAACTATTGTATAAGGAAGGATTCTCACTAATCGTCAGTCATTATACAATATAGATGGCAAAGATTAAGGAATGAGTTTTAAAACATAGGGATATTTTTAGGGGGAAATGTGATTACATCTATTAGACATTTTTTAGAAAATTTAAAGGTTACAATATATTGTATAATGGAATTTTACTTTCATTTTCTTTTACAGTATGGCTTTGTTTTTAAAAAATATTCTTATTAAGCATACATTGTTACGTTATTTTTTTTAAATCTTATTTAACCGATTATAGAATAATATTCTTCTTACTTAACAATTGACAAATATGCAAGAAATAATTACTAGTATTTCCAGCTGCTTGATGACTGATCCTGGCTACTTCTTGGGAAGCAAGTGATGCAGTGGAGTCACAACGACTGAGTGATGCCATTTCTTGTTCTTGTAATGATTCAGCTATTTGCTGGTACAAATATATAATATTATAACATTACTTATATTTTTTGTAATAAAAACTAATTGGTTTCATACTTAAACCTAACAAAATAATAATAATAATAAGCTAATACAAATGTATTGTACAATAATGGGGGACACGGTAGGTGTCATATAACTAGAAACATTTTTTTTTTTTATGATAACAACAATCAGAGTTCTTTGTGAGGAGAAATAATAAAAAAGGGGTTAGCTCATTTTTTGAAACTGTATTTTGAATTAAATAGAATCTCTGGGGGAGAACAATCAGTAAGTGGGTTAGTGAAAAAAAAGAATGGAGGATTGGTCTCCTACTATGAATAAGGCCTCTTATCTTAGAGATGGGTATCTCGTTGGCGCTTCTATGATTCTCTGCAAGTCGAGTGGTGCTGCTACTCTGTTCAATTATTACAAGCCGTTGTCTGAGGTGTAGCAAAGTTCACGTCTTATTTGCTGAATTCAGACATAGAGCATGACGTCTTAGTAAGCTAGCAAGTAAGTGAGGTAGAGGGTTGGTGGCCAGGACTCATATAATGGAGTAGAGGGGAGAGAGGAGTTAATGCTAGTTATAGTGCTGTATAAGTCGCCTCACTGGTGATACATAAAATTATTATACTGACGACCGTCATCATTGAGGGGTTGACATAAAATGAGACAAAGATCTTCCTTCTTTTTCTTTTGCATCACCCTGTAGTGCCTTTCAGCGTAGGGGAGCGTCTAGCCAGGATTGCCAATTTTCCCTGTTTCTTGCAATATTTCTGACTTGGCGTATATTTTTATTTCTATTTTTGCACAGGCGGTCTACGTATTCGAGGTACGACATTCTCGGTCTGCCGCGGGGTCTTCTGCCATTGGGGACGTAGTACATAGAATTTAATGGATCTCTGTGTTCTTCCATCCTGGTGACATGCCCAAACCACTTAAGCTGCCGAGTCTTTAGGACATCCTTCATCGGGGGAACCCCCAATTCCTCCCTGATTCTCTCGTTGCGAATGCAGTCCCTTCTCGTTTTCCCTGCGATCCTTCGGAGAAACCTCATTTCTGCAGCAGTGATTTTTCTCTCAAGTTTGTCAGTCAGTACCCAGCTTTCTGCACTATACAGGAGTATAGGCAAGTATACTACCTTAAATATATCAAAGATCTTCCTATTAGGTGTAAATAAAAAAAAAAGAAGAAAAACAGACAAATATTTTATAAATCAGACACCTGTATTAAAATGAGGGACAAGATTATTGAATAAACCATAAAAATGGTATAATGAAATTTATAATAAAATTCTTCGTCTTTAAGTTAATTTAACTTAAAAAGCAATAATTCCTCTCGACTTACTAGAGAATATAATCTTTCTGTTGTCCATAATACATAGTATGTTCTATAAACATGGTATATTATTGAAATCTGTTGTAAACAGGATTCTCCTCTGATTCCTTAGTCTGGATCTAAATTTACTTGATTACACCTGATTATGGAATATGAAATTTTAATATTTCATATTTATATTATATTATACATAACTCTACATCATTATGAAATTTTAATGATTTTACAATATTGGAATAAGAGATGTTCCACAGAAATTGATAAATAAAAAAGTTGTAAATTTTAAGAGAAAGAAGCCTTGAATTAAAGAAGCCGCTCATTGTTCGTTAAAGAATTTAACTATTGCTACAACTTCAAGGAAAGAAACCAAATACAGAATTAACTACCACAGTAGGTTAAAAGATGTTAACTGAAACCATACTAGCAATAGGAAAAGCAATAAGCGAACCTCCTGGGAACCGAACAAATTAAATGAGATCCTTTTGAATTAGGGAGACCCAGTATTGGAAATTTTATAGGATGGGTTTTAACCTTGATAGTACTGGTACTATCATGTATAGCAGGGGTCTCCAAACTATATTATACATTATTATGCCTGTTATACATTATTATATATATTATGCCTGCGGAGCGGATCCAGCCAGCAAGTACCTCTGATCCGGCCCGCGAAGGTTTCTTTGATTACATGGTAAAATTTTAAAACTATTCATAAAATATGAAATTTAGCAAATCACTCAAGCAGGAGGTTTCTACATTTATAGCGTATACATTGTGTTGTTTCTCTTAGAAAGCTCATTTCACAACTGTAGAGTCATTTATTCATCACAATACAAGGATGGAGATCTCAATGTGGCCTGCTGGACTTGGTAGAGTTTTCAATGTGGCCCATGGGACAAAACGTTTGGAGACCCCTGATGCATGATAATGGAACCATTTCCACAGTTCAGAGGTTTAGCCCCTTCTGAGAATCTACCGATCAGTATATAGACTTTTTAAATTTAAATATTAAAAGAAATAATGATCAGAAATTATACCTGCATCATGTGTAATTTTTCAGGATACGCTAAGTCACCTGGTGAAGGAGAATAACCAGCCACATCCGTTCTTAAATATAGCAACGCTCTAAAGACCAGCCTTTCTTGTACATCATGCAACAACTGTTCAGCAACGCTACCAAAAGCAGCAAGCGCCTCCTCTAGCATTAAATTATAAAGTAAGATAATTTAAAATCTGCTGTGAGAAAAACAAAAATTCATTATATGTAAAAATTTACAAGTTGTATTTCTTACTATTAGTGCTGACTTGTTCATGTAATAATTCCAATCTCAGAATTGAACATAATTCTGCTAAAGACTCTAAATGCTTCATATGTATAACAAGAGGTCGAACCTTATCATAAACACTGGTACAGATTCTTTCCAAGTACCGACTAAAATAAAACAATTAAATTTTGTAACAGAATGACAATAAAAATGATTTCGTAATATAAATAAGTAAATATGAAACTAAAGTATTATTAATCATTTTCAGAAATATATAATTAATAATAAGAAATAATATAACTAAGAGAGGGTTAGAATTATCGTGAAGTAAGTTAATTTTGCTTTTTGACCAGAAAATAAATATTTCGTAAATGTACTTTAATGATATAAGTTAAGTTATATATATATACATGTGTATACTTTATGTATCACTAAATTATATTGCATTTACAAAACATTAAATTTCTAGATACAAAGCAAAACTGACAAAATACATTATCATTCTAATCCACTCATATGTCACATCCCCACTATCCCAAATGACTCGGCCGTTAACACAGCTGATTAGCTTAACTGATGAGGTACAAGTACAAAAGTATTATAAACTTACCGATTTTCTACAAAAAAAAAAAAAAAAAAAAAAAGGACACAATTACATAAAGATAAAGCATGAAAAAATATTTCTCTGCAACTGTAAATTTTGAAAATGAAATTATAATAATGAATGAGGAGTTGGTCGGGGCGTGCCATTCTTCCACTCGACCAGTGGACATAAGGCTGCTCTATTTAAAAGGATGAAAATGTGTAACATTTGATGTAAATTTAAAATTATTTTTTATTTTTTTACGGTCCACAGGTAATTTATAAATACTTTACACAATGGACTTTTCATAAATAAGTTATGAAATTTATAATTAGAAGAACGTGAGGAGAAAATTTTAACAATAATTATATAATTACATAGATTATATAATGATCATATAAATATTTCGACTTGAAAATGGGCAAAATTGCCTGAAACGTCGTCAAGAAAATTAAAATGAATTTAAGTATGGAGTAGAGTTGTAATGGTAAAATAAAGCAATTTTCCTCAAAATTATAAATTTTAATAAATAATAATTTATTAATTGGTTTGGTTATTGATATATAAAAATCTGAATTTCTATCACTGTTGTATACTTTGTCAAGAAAAACATTTTATAACTGAATTTATGTTACTTTTACTTACCTATATATGTAATATGTAGTAAGAGAAAGTATCGCGATCGTGAAAATTTTCAAATCTCAGTTTTCAATGGAAATACACATTTTGAGGTCCCCTGAGTCCAAATAACCAAGTCCTGCAAAATGGTCTGTATTTCTGTATGTGTTTATTTGAAAAGTCTAGCTCAAAAACAAAAAGTCGTACGAAACTGATATTACGTATTTAAGGTTTGTATATGGCTCAGATATGACTGCAACTTTTTCCTTCAAATTGGCTAACTGGAAGTGCGATTTTATATCAACAGTGATACACATTTTTCTCAAAAACGACTCTAACAATTTTGATTAAACTCGGTGAATCATCGTATAATTAAGTGGTCTTTAATATCATTTAAGTATTATACCCACAGATGTCACTTTACAGAGGTTAAATGCCCAATGTTTAACATGTCTTCCTCTAAAGTACCTTTAATTTGGTTTATTTTAAATAATTAACTATTTCTCATTGTTAAGAGTTCTGAAAAAAAGGCTAAATATAACTTTGGAAAGAATTTGATAATTGAATAAAGGAGAGAAAAATAAAAATGCTTATCCAGGTCGAAAATGAATCTCCGGAAATACTAGTCAGAAGGTATACATATAATATTTCATTGGAAAGCAGAGAATTTTAGAAAAAAACAATATCTAATATAGAAAGTAATGGAGTATAACGAAAAATTATAAATAATAATTTTTGAAAACTAATAGTATTTAATGGAAATCACATTTTTTCAAGGAAATTAAATGAAATTTATTAACTAAATGTAAACATTTACAAAATTTTTTAAGTTTGAAAAAAAGGATTTAAAATCCACGAAACCAAGGCCATGACTTTTTTTTTTTATAACCTTTGGCATAAAGCACTACGACCCTTGAGGATCTATTGTGCGCCAAGGCAATGACATTGTTTAAAAAACTATTTCATTGTACTTGTGTGAAAGAAGAAGTGGAATATAAAAATATTTCATGGATATGTTTATAATATATTTACTGTAGTTTAATAATTCTTGATCTGATATTATATTTAAATAACTAAGTATCTATCGTCAGTTTATTCCGAAAAAATCATCATGTAACCTTTAAGAAAATTAAATTAGTGCATAATTTGATGAATTTTCCCTTTGCGATATCCCAACAATATCCACTTACAATTAGTGTGACAACTTTTGACCTGTCCATGACAGACAATGCAAATCTCCAATATACTAAATTCCATTTTAGTAAACTTTGCAATGGAAAATAACAGTTTAATAACTAATAGTCGTACAATCCATAATCAACCGGTGATATAATAAATAGAATATTTTTTAGTTTAATGGTATTTATGATTTGTTAGATGTAAGCTTTAAGATTTGCTGTACTGAATGGTAAACGTCAGAGGTGTAGACCGAAGAGAAGGTGGGAAGATTGCATTAAAGCCGATCTGAAGGGACTAGGTTTGGATGGCGAACAATGGAGAGAGGTGTGTGTAAGGAGCGATTGGTGGTGTCGGCATCGAACCTTCGGGTTCGCTAAGCCTTTTATTATTTATTTATTAAGCTTTAAGATTTAGCCCAGTTAAAAATGCAAATCAAAAATTGTATAATAGCCCAACATGGCCAGAAAATAATTTCTTTTCAAAGTTGAGCGGTAAGTGAATGTTATGTGTTGCGCGCACCAGATTTTTTTCTTTTCAGACTACAAATTTAAATCATAAAGAGAGAATGAACAAGCTTGTTAATAAAAGCAAATGAGCCTAATTTGATTAATTAATAAACACAATTAAAAAGAAAAACAATTGTGATATTATTCCCAAGATGAAGAGTCTTAAGTGCACTAATTGATAAGAACATAATGTTCTTAGACTATACAAGATGATCTGACCAGGATCATCAAATCTATATCCAGATTTCCACCAAAATCCATTGAAGGATCGCATAGTCCCTTGGTAAAGACTAGGTATATTCTAGCTGGGTCTCCTAAACACATAACCTATAAATAATAAAATCACAATTAGTTGACAGCCAAGGGGTAAACTCACGTGGCACACCAAATTAAGACATTTTTCTTTTCCTTAACTCTTCGATATTACTTCAAAATATTTACGAACATATACACTGAATAGTGGTGATATCCTTGTAATATGCATATTCATTTGTAAATAATATTGAAAAGTTGGGGAAAAAACAAAATGTGAGTTTCAACTATATGTCACTTGAGTACCCCCTCGGGCGGCCAATCAATCGCAGTTGAACTATAACTGAACAATGACTTTTAAGCCTTTGCTGTGCTTGAAAACTATGACTGGGAATTAGGAGATCAGTGCCTTAATTGATATTCCCCAGTGCCCGATTCCAATCACTAATACTAATTTAAGTCAGTAAAAATACCATTTTTCTGGCTGAGGAACCAATCATAATTAACAAAAACATAGGAAAAAACTTACTAAAACACTTCACTAGATGTTGAAAAGAATTGTGTATAAAGTGCATGTTCATCCAGGGAAACGTGGAGTAGAAAGGCTGATGCAGATCTTAGTAGAGCACACGTATCCTTTTCATTAGACAAATCATCTAAAGTACGTTTAACACTTGGTCCAATCAAGCTTTCTCTTTCTGTTACATACATTTCTTGACATTCAATCAGGACCTCATTATAACTGAAATTATAATTATAAATAGAAAAATAATATTTGATACCTAAATTACATAAACTGAAATAATTTCTACTGACTCCTGGAAGACATCTACCCTGGCTTCGAGAGCTGCCAAAAGTGGCCTTAAATTAACTGCAGCAGATTGAAACTTAGCATAATGGTAAGCTTGGCTAGCAGACGCCTGTTGGGATGCTAATGCCAGTCCAGAACCAACGTTACTTCGGACAAGAGCCAAAACCCTTCGTAAGCACTGCCAATATCTGGACATATACGCATGACTCTCTCGAAAAGTAACCTGTTAATTTAAAAGAGTAATCAGAATAATTTTTAAAAAAATATCAGGCAAGTATTTATTTATATTTTTTCTACTTACATGATGCTGGTGGTATTTAATATGGTCATTTAACTGGTCTAATATAGTATCTAAATTATTATTATGAATAGATAAGGTTGAGTTGTCTAAAGATTGTACAAATTTATCAAGAGATTTGAATCTGTTTAACCTCTCTTTTATTGCTTCCTTCTTTTGAATTAATTTCATCTAGTAACAATCAAAATTAATTAAATTTAAATTGATAAAGTAATAAACGTTATATCTTCTATAAGCTCTCAATAATAATATATTTATGAAAAGAAGTTTGATGGGGGGTGCAGTCAAATAAATAATAATTTTTTAAAAAATAGTATTTTTAATTTAAAATACTATTTTTTAAAAATTTAGTATTTATTTGACCGCACCGCCTAACCAACTCCTTCTCATATTATATCACGGTCAACCATCTCTACACCATTAATATTTTATTTATTATTCAATGTTTTTTTTTAGCTGTAAAAAGCTCAAAAAAAAAAAGTTGAAATTTAATACTACTAAGTAATAATACTGAACATTAGGTTATTATTTTGAGCCACATACTATTAAAAACATAAAAAAATCATAGTTCTTATGAATAATGAGTGTAGTTGAAAGGTTATATAAGATGATAGAATGAATAAATTTATGATACTATTTATATATTTAACACAAATAAATATATATTTAAAAATTATACCTGATCAGAAATTAATTCCTCACTGACTTGGTGCAATGAATTTGTTTTATCGGACACTAACTGATATTCATGACTAAGTTCACGTAGATTTTTTAGGCATTTCTCAACCTAAAAGCAATAACATTGTAAAATTATACACTAAAAATACAATTCAAGGAAATAAATAAAATTAACATCACTTCTTTAGGGCAAATGGAATTTAATTTTCTTAATAACTTATATTCTGTAAATAAAAATAAACAGTATAGTAGGAAAATTAAATCTTAGTTAAAATATTTTATTACTTATAACAATTTTAAAAATCAACCTTAAATAGAAAATAGAGTGAATTAGCATGACAAAATAGTCTTCACAATGTTCACCTCTTATTTTGCTTTTACAGAACAGAATATTTGGTAGGATTCATCACTAACATAGAAAACTACTAAAAAGGTTTTCTTCTATTTTAGTGTAGATGGGTACTAGTAGAATTCATGAGAATCCAGACTCAATAAAATTAATGAAAGCTCGACCAACTGGTGAGACTCTGAGGTAAACTTAGGATATAATACAATGAATATATCAATAGGTTGGGTATAGATGAAGGAATGAAAACTCTTCAAACTGTTGGCACAAATAGTTCTGGTGGATAGACATTCCTCTACTCAGAGAGATTTAAAGAGAAAGCATTCAGTTAATATAATGATAGTAACAGTAAAATATTAGTAACTATAGAGCTATAAAATAGAGTAATTCAACAATTATACAAAAATCTTTTGAGGAGATAAATAAATAAAGATTAACCATTTTGAAAAGAATCAAGTATAAGAATAATACAAATAAGATAAATAAGATATATGAAATGAAAATATATAAATAACATAAATGAAACAGTGTAGCACTGATGGTCAAACAAGTTAAAATGAAAGTCAATGAACATAGTGTTGAGTTGAAAGGGTTTTATTCCCATCTCAGTCAGTTAATATTTGTTTTGTTTATACAAGATTCAGTCACTTAAATTGTATATAACTTTTTTTACAGAATTTAACCTAAGCAAAACGAATTTTCAAACACCTATGGTTGAACAAAAAAAAATTTAGAATAATTTTAATAAAAATAACTGACTATATAACTATTTTGAGTACTAGTTCACAAGAGTTTCGCACGGATCAAGCATGGTTCACAATCACTTCAATCACACTTGTTCATGGAATGCCGAAAACAGCCGAATGTTGTCTTTTATGATGTCAGCTATTGCGGTATCACACAATCCCTTTTCATGCATTTTTGAAAAAAAAAAAAAAAGTATTCCCTTCATGGAACTTCCTTATTAACAATTTAGCAACGAATTATATATTTACTAATGAGTTAATCATTAATTTTGATTATAACGGTTATTACTGTGAAAGAAAAAAAACATATAATAATGTTTGAGTCGTTTCTTCAAGGCCTGTTAAAAAAAAGTGCTTCTAGAAATAACATTTTTAATGACACGTGCTTACAAATAGTGGCTGTAAATACGCATATACTGTTGTATATTATCTTCTATAACTGTGTATAAAAGATTTTTTTATCATTTGGATAATAAATAATTTCAAGTTATCTATTATCTTTTTATTTGTTAATCGAGTTTTTAAATAGAAGTTGGAATAATTGAATTTATAATTTATTTTAGCAAACCTTTTTTAGAACTGCGAAATTGTCTATCCAGTTTATATAATTTTTTGGATTTCTAATAATACGAGGGTCCACTATTTTCTAGTGGGGAAGGGAGGGAGAGGGAAGCACTTTGTATGCATATACTGCCTGATTTGAGATTGAGCATCAAGTTTATGTAACTTTTTTGAATTCTTAGATATACGGATCCACTATTTTCTAGTTGTCGGAGCTTTTTATGAAAACAATGTCAAATTAAAGATTGCACGAGAAAATTGTACAATAGTAATAAATAAAATGTATCTATCAATCGTTATATAGATAAATATTTATTAAAAAAATGCCCAATCCCAACGAGACTCGTAGATCTGCCAGTTAGTTAACTGTTAACTTAAAATTTATTTTTTCGTTTTAATCACTATTATTTTTATTGAATAAATTATCTGTGTATCTGTGTAATTATTGTTATTCACTGTTATTTTTCTTGGTAATCCAAAAATGGGGATTATTGTAGTCATTCATACAAAAAAAAAAACTGTATTTATTTTTGAGAAAGAAATTAACGTATTGGGGAAACAACTGACAAAGAATATCTGATAATTCCAAGGATGGAATAATGGAAATCATCAATAAGAAAAATAATATCATGAAATAGCATTCAGATATGTAACGGTTTTATTATTAAATGTTTTTATCTATTACTATTTCTTCTTCACAGATCAAGTTTTATATGTACAAGTTCGATTCAGGTTTAATGGTGTGTAGCCTAAATTTCGAATGTAAGTCTGCTGCTACTATATAACTGAACATGGTTAAGGTTATAGAAGTACTTGAATGGTGAGAAAGTTAATAGTAACTGGCTCAAGAGATCGGTCGCCTTCGTTCTCTTTCGGATAAACCTGAACACATTTGGCACTCCATGAACAAGTGTGACCGAAATGATTGTGAACCATGCATAATACGTCCAGAACTCTTGTGAACTAGTACCACTATTTGAGCTTGATTTAAATGTTACATTATTACAAAATAAAGTGGGTGCATAAACAAAACTTAAGATAAATTAAAGAACTAAATTTGACTACAATATTTATATTAACTTTTGTTTTCTCTCACTCTTTTATACCTGTACCCTAATAGATCATTGATGTTTTACTACAATCTATATTTTGTTGTAGTACTTGCTGAACTTAAATAATTTAAACTCAGTAGAGATTCGCTCTTTAATAAACAATGAATCAAACAAAATAATAAGACAATTCCAATTCTATAGGTGATATAAAAATACTAAATTAACTCCTAATCATAAACCATATTGAATTAGCAATTGCAAATAAAAAAAAAACATCAGATTAAAACACCTCATAATTGTATATTGAGATGCAATGGAATACTTAATTATTATGAATGTTGGATATCATATAAAGCAAATACCTGAACAAGAAGACCATTACATTCATTTCTTTGCTTTTCTAAATAATCCAAGTAGTTAACATAGACAGCATCTTCTCTTTCCAACCAGTTATTTTCTTCTTTAGAATACCAGGCCAAAAACTAAAATGAACAGCACATAATTAAAACAGTGCCTATCACAAATTTGATAATTAAAAAATACATACATCTCTAGAATTTTCTAAAACATCAGGCAACTCTTCTTTCCTGTTATTTGACAGTTCTTCATCAACAGTGTCATCTTTAGATATGTTAAGCTAGTTAACAAAATATTGATTAGATTTGATTAATGACAGTTATTCTATTAATTCAGTAAAAATAAAACATTACCTTGTAAAAAGGACCAATTTCTTTAATTTCTTGGCAAAGATCTAAAACTATGTTACGTTGTAAATTGCTCAATGGAGCTAAAGGGTCATTGGGACGTTCCCAATTATAAATTAAATTATTAGCTTCAGATGACAAATTAACATCGGTCATCTTTCATCAACTTGATAACATAAATTCACTATCAGAGATGATATTACTGTAAACATAGGCGGCCAACAAGTTTTGTGTTTATAACCTTCCCTTTAAGACAATTTTCTTTATATATTTATTATTATTATTTTAAAAAATAACAAATCCGATTTAATTAATTTAGAATAATTTTTATGCACATTTTTAAATATATAAAATTGTTTAAACTAGTATTTTGTACAATGAAAATAATAAATCTAGACAGCCTATCCAAAACCGCTGCCATTAGTGATATCCCTTCTTTCACTTGGTGTCGCGTGGTCTACTCTAGTGGAAGATGGTAAGGAATTTTTAAATCTGTTTTCATCTTTAATTCTGTTTAATGTATTTTTAACTAAGTGTTTGTAAAATTTCAGTCGGCCCATAAAACATTTAAGATAAAACAAAAGCTTGCTAAGAAGCTGAAGCAAAACCGACCTATTCCTCAGTGGGTGAGGATGCGAACTGGTAACACCATCAGGTTAGTGAATCAGATTATAACTAATAAATTTATCTTGTAACAATATCCTAAAACCGTTTTAAACTTTGTCAATTCACATAGTAGTTCAATATTTAAATTTTGTAATAAGTTCCTCAAATTTTTTCTTTGAATATAGTTCTTTATATTTTTGTTGTGATTTCCATAGTTGTATTTTTCATCGGATATTATTAGTTTAGAATTATCCAATATAAGGAAGTCTACTAGATTATAGAGTTAAAGGTCTCAAGAGATATATTGCTACTTTGGAAATAGCTGATAATTCAAAAATCAAAGATTTTATACCTGGTTATATATTACATCAAGATGAGCATGATACAATGGAAAATCTACCACTACAACCCATGAAAGGTCTTGGGAGTATGTACTGTTATTGGGAAGTATCATTTCTGTTAATGGTTGTGCAATGGTGAGTTTACAGAGATCCTTCTTTAACCACCAGGTTATCTCCTTGATATTAAGAGTTCCTACCTAATAAAGGATGAGTTTGTCGCAGGAGAGTCTTCCGAACTCAGGGTTGATCCACCGCTGATGAAACCGAATATGATAAAGTTGATATACTATCAGCTAGATCCGAACTCGGGACCTCAAGCTTTGTCAGTTAGTGCTTAACTCAGTTAAAACTATCCCGGTTAGGACAAGTTAAGAATTAACTGATTGTTGTTAATCATAATCTAAATAAACAGAGATTATGCCTGTGAACACTTCAGCACTGGAATTCCATTTATAATGTGAATATCAGATCTTCTCTCACATCCAAGCGGAAAAGACGACACTTGTTATGCAGCACCTATTTCACAATTAATATTCCTCACATTGCTTCTTTTGTCTTAACTGTTTTAATATTGCATTTGTTTGCCCAATTTAACCTTATTTTAATTTAATGCCTTGCTTCTTAAATAGCAATTCATGAATATTTAATTACTTATGATTAATAACTAAGCTATGTATTACTCCTAGCAATTGTTTTTCATTACCAAAGTATTGGAAATCATGATTCTTGTTAGTCCTAAACTGATGAAAGTTTTCTGTTTTATAAAACCACATGGTGTAATCTAAGAGAGTAAGAAATAACTTTATTTACCCATTGTAATCATGAGGTACAGTAGTGAAATAATCAAATTCTTTTTGTAAAGTTATGTTGGTGCTGATTTTTCTGATGATATTTGTTAATGTTATTAAAATATGTATGGGGTTTTGTAAAACATGTAACGAGAGTCTTCTGAGGTCATAAATGTAAATGTAATTTTAAGTTCTCTGTAAATGCAAATAATTGTCCGAAGGAACTAAATTTTGAGAAGTTAGTATAGTTAAGATTAACTGCAATTCTACACCAAGTCGCTTGTTAGAAGTGATATGATCATGCCAAAAGTCGATAATCCAAACTCTGTGGCAGACTGAAATTAGTGATAGAAACTACAGCTGAGTTCCCGTTCTTATAAGTTGAGTAGTGTGACAAAAACATTAAAATACTTTGATAAGTCTGTGTTGTTGCTACCTGTGCCATGAGCTCCTCTTCAATCATTTTACCCTTGTATTATTCCATATTTTCATTGTCAGTTTATTGTCTCCCAGTATTGATCTCTTTGTAAATACCAATTATTGTGTAACAAACTAGAGAGAAAAAAAAAATATGCTTACCCTCGTATTCTAATGATAACTTGAATGTTATTTTTATTTTTTTAATATTTCTGATAACTGACACTTGGCATAAGGAAAACATGAGCATGTAGAAAAACCGTCATATAAATGAAAGACAAAATGAAAAATTTTCTTTAAAAAAAAGATAGCACGTGCTTTTCGTTAGATTAAATTGTAATGCCACTAAGTATTATGGTATTAACTGGAATACTGCAAGGTCTGTTATCAATTTTCTATTTTTATTGGTCATTAGGCTTTGTTAATAATAATGTATAAAGCCCTCAAATTTTTCTGATGCATATTAGCCAAGATAATTAATTATTAATATTAAAAGGAAAGTAGTGAGGATAGCTATGCCACAGAAGTGGAGGCATCAGATATTGCTAATGTCTAGCCTAATCCATTGATTTATCTTATACTTTATATCTTGGGGAAAGTGTTTTCATCCTTAAAACTTTATTTCAAGAAATGTATTTCCATATTTTCTTTCACTGTGTTGTTTGAGTTAAAATATTTAGTTTGAAATATATTAGCTTCTATATTCAGATACAATAAATTAACCATGAAAATATCAATTTTAACTTAAGCAATAAATCTAATCGTACGAGGTAGGCTAAATCCTTGCTTAATTATGAACTCTACATTCAAAGATTTTATTTTTAAAAAATTCATGATTTTGCTGTGATACTAACAAGGGTTTTTTTCCGTGATGCTACATCGAAATATATTCATGTCCTGGTGTTCATTCCATAAGGCCCTAGGAGCTGGGATTTGATTCTTAATTAACAAAATTTATATTTTGAACTTCACCTCTTGTTCATTAACAAAATTTTGAAGATGTCCCAGCCTAGACATAAATTTCATGCAAAAATATTCTATCAAAGTTTTTTTTTTTTTAATGTGAAAAACAAATATTTACTTTTTTCTCCCTTTAAATAAATTTAGTCCCACATTGCTGTGTTGGTTGGTCCATATCATCCCCATACTGTAGCTATCTATTAAATATAACATTTTTTCAATACCAGCCTTCTGTCTAGAGTAGGGATTTCTAAACTACGCTCCGCAAAAGTTCCTTTGATTACATTGTAAAATTTTAAAACCTATAACAAAAACATGAAATTTAGCAAATTACTCACACAAGAGTTAACTCAAATATTTGTTGCACGAACCTTTTCTTTTAGAAAGCTCATTTCACAACTGAAGAGTTGTTTATAGAAGGTTGTTTTGTTTTTTTTATCACAAGCCATAACCCATGGTTCTGAATGGACTTTTCAAGGAGGCCCACGGGCCGAAAAGTTTAGAGACCCCTTGATTCTAGAGAAAAGATTTTTTAGAAATAGTTTATATTTGTTCTTCGCACCTTGATACCAATTTTTAAGCAATCTAAATTGATATTTTTTGTATAAAATGTTTGCCTCTGCTGTACTTTTCAAAGTTTTGTCATAACTTCAGTATAGTTCCACCGATTCATTTGAAAATTGTTAGGAATTTAGAACTTAATGTGCGACAAAAAACGGTACAGACCCTACTTCCGAAAACAGATTGGAGCCAAAGGTATGAAATAAAAATGGTTAAGAAGTTTTTATTAATTTCTAGCTTAAAAAGGAATTAAATCTATGAGACATTGGTGTAGTTGGAAGACCAGTAAATTAGCTTTTCTACAACTGTACTTTTCTTAAATGAATTTCTTTCACTATATAATTCTCTTAGATGTTTTAAATAAATTTGTTCTTGTGGGTTACTTGTTGCATTTAACTTTTTTTTTCTGCTTACAGGTACAACGCTAAGAGGCGTCACTGGAGGCGTACCAAGCTCAAGCTTTAAGTATTTGAAGAAGTTGTGTGTTACAATGGTTTCAAATAACTACATTATAAGCTAATAAATTTTTTTTTTTAACTTTAGAATTACATTATTTCTAATTGCCCCATTTCTTTTCTCCTTGTTAAGCTTGGTAAAGTTAACTTTAAAATATCATAAAAAGGATCATAAGTGATCCTCTTAATGAGTAGAAAGTCATATTTGACTCATAATAAAACAAATCAAGTCCATAACCAACCTTCTCTACCTGTGCTTTTGTTGATTAACTGCTTTCCTTGGCTGCATTTCAGTATCTTGATTCTATCTATCCTGGTTTTTGTCTTCCCATGTGGTCTTTGGCCAACATGCCAGCCATTGTTTTAAGAGACTTGTCTTGGCAGATTACTTTGAGCTGTATACCTCTTAATACTGACCATATTTTCTTCATATCATGAATTTGATAGTCATTCAACTCTGGAGGAAGGCCGAGAACATTTACTTCACTTAGTAAATCTCGTAAAGAAAAAGTATTCTGAACTTAATAGTGGTAAAAACAAAATTACTGCATATTTAAGTGCCCATTGCCTATTATTTCAGGATAACACAAAGATCTTAGTGTCTTCAGATTTATGAGAATGAATTTTGCAGCAAGTATTAGATCTCATCTTAAGTTGTCACCAGTCTGGACATCAAACCGGTGAATAAAACTTTTATTGAATTAGGATGGTTTTTAACGAGCTTTAAAAAGTAAATTAGAGATTAAAAAAGTTATCTTGAGATTTGTAATTGAATAAAGTGGGGCTTTAATCATTTTCTCTTAAAAGCAGGGACAATTTTTTTTTATTGATTTTACTGATGAATATTTTTTTTTCTGCCCAAGACCAAATATAAGAAGTAGCTATGTCGTCTCTCCTTTTCAATCCCTGAATATTTGAAATCCGACCCTGACAAATTATCAAAATGTTATTAACAATTTGAGGGAGGGAAGGGACAACAAGAATAGTTAATTCTTACAATACCATCAATCATTTTGTGACGTAAGCCTTTTTTCCCCTAAACAATCCTTCCTTTATATTTAAATAAAACTTGCATAAAATAACTAGAGAATGATATAATTCTATTGAAATATTAAAGTCGCAATAAATAAAACAAATAGTGATCACTTGATAACACAATTTTTATCACAACCACAGCCTTGATTTTGTGTGTTGATTCTGATTACTACTTATTGTATAAACAATAATTGCTTATTATATCTAGGCTAGTTGCAAGAGCCTCTTTTACTCAGAAATTAATAAGTGAAAAATTGTATTCAATCGGTTTTATTATTAAATATATTTCTTTATGTAATCACAGAACTATGTTAACGATTTCTTTTTTTGTATGAAAGTTATTTTCTTCATAAGCTGTTCTTTTCATAAATAATTTTAAAAGTTATTGTTCTTCACTGCTATCTCATTTAAACTGTTATGTTATTTGTCTGTTATGAGTAAATTTAAGTAGACTTTAAATTGAAATGTCAAGTGGCATGAGGAAGTGAAGAGGTATAACTTTTTGGGGATAGCATGGTACAATTCTCTTACCACCTTCATTTTAATTGTGCATCTGGTTTTTTTGCTCTTTTTCAAGTTTTTCCAGGTTCCTCTGAATGTAATTTTTATATTTGAATAATTCAATCCACTCAAATGAGCAATCTCTTCCTCAGCTTAACAATAAGTCTTAACAGAAACACTATATGAAATCGGAATTATAGCGGATTAAACAAAATTAGTCCATAATGATGACATCTCTGGGGTTCACATCCTAGTTTATTCTAACAAAGGCAGATTATCAGTGACATAAATATAAGGATGCCAGGTTGAGAGAGTGTAGCAGATTACCAGATATGCTTGAATTTGTATTTTATAAAATAAGCAAAAACATTTCTATTTGTCTATGATGAGTGTTATTATACTGCATCCATTAAGTTTCAAAGGCAGTTCCATAAATGTTTCTAGATTAATTTACGCCATTGAAAAAATAATTTTCGATGGAAAAAAGTGGGATCGTTTTGATTGCTTTATTTGACGTCAAATGAAAGTAAGATATAAAAACAGTATAAAAAAAACAACGAAATTTTTAGACTAGTAAGAAATATTAAGAGATACATGGCACCCAACACTTGGATCGTCTTGCCCAAGCCATCTTATTTTAAAAATGTGTGGCCGGCTAATCATTGTTATACACTAGCGGATCCAGGATTTAATTTTGGGGGGGAGGGGGCTTCAGCCCGAAAGCTTTTTTTTCATAAAAATAACGATAATTACTTTGGAAAAAAAGAAAGAAACTAACTACCTGTATGAAATGGTGTTTAAGTGATTCCTAAAGCCCTTTTAATATTAATCACACGAACAATAACACTTTAAGAGATACTTTTTTAATATTTTGTTTGATAAAACATGGTTATATTTTTCCATTTTGGGGGGGCTTCAGCCCGAAAGCCCCCCCCCCCATAGATCCGCCCGTGTTGTTATATTTGCATTTTGAAGCTAGTAGGGCGGTGTAAGTGGGAAGTGTGCTTTAGTATATTTATTTATAACGAAAAATAGTTTCCATTTTTTGAATTTTCAAAACAATTAATTACATAAGTAACCTTCAGGCTAATCCGTTCTTTAAGCACGTTAACGTAAAAACTTGAATAAACAAACAAAAATCTTTAGATTAATAATTTTAATAAAGGAACTCTATCTTCCAAATAAATTTTTATTACTTGATGGTTTAGCCAAGTGTTAGTCCAAATACCTTGCCTTCTGACGAAAAAAAATTTGGTGAAAATTTACTAATGGATTGCATGTTTCCTCGATATGAGCCTCTAGTCAAGTATTGTTGATTTATCTGATCTCGAGTGGACAGGGCCTTTAATTATGTTTTGGTGATATTAGCTGTCAAAGAATTTTCAGAGCAATATTCTATCCGCTTGATGGTTTGGTTCAAGCTTTTTGGAGGGGAAAAACTACGATATCTACATAAAGCAAACACTGTATTAAGCGAGGCTAGCAGGACATTTATAATTAAGTTGAAGAGACTACAACTGACCACTCAGTGAAAGACCATTACGATTCCCACATAAAGGAATGTTACACTACTTTATCTTATTCAAGCAGATCTTTGGAAGAGGAATGATTTCCTCTAAATCGTGGTTTGCCTTAAGCCTCAGATCCGTGATCTTTCTGTGGGCTGTCGTATGTAGGTAGCCATCAAGTCGAAGAAGGTACTAAGTTGTTCTATTTTTTTTTATTCTAAAGAGACTGTCCCAGAATAAAGTTATTTTCTATTTCTATTAAGTATGCTACTTGTTCAATCGTGTTTCTTTACCCTCTGTAGCTTATCCTGGCTTTCTTTCAAGTCTGAGTTGTTTCCTCTGGTGTTGGGGCTCTCAGTCAATCTCTGCAGTTAGCGTTCCAATTATTTTTTTAACGTTTTGAGATCCTTATTCCAATCTGTTTTGAGGTAAACACTCGATAACCGTGTCACAGAACCTACTGTAGCTCTTAACAGGGTCCGCATAGACGACGGTTTCTATTTCTAATTTAATATTTGTCGATTTCTGGTGTTTTACCTAGTCGGATTTTTATTGGTTTACCTTGGTAAATTATTTTTCTCTTGCAAGTGATTTGATTTAGGCGATTGGTTCATCACACCTTAGGACCATGCCTATCTCTCAACCCTATTTTTCATAAATGACGACAGTTATCTAGGTTACCTCGAATCTATATCTATATCGGGGTTTGAAGTTAGTTCTTAGTAAGTTTTCCCTTGGATTCATGTGCGAAATTTGGAATCAATATGCACGGATTGTCGACCTGTGCCTCTACCTATGTACGTCAATGAGCATTTAAATTCCCTAAGATGAGACAGTTCCAGGATTAATAAGCCCACCTGTGAGGAGATAGGAAGAACACTCGTATTTAATTAACCATCCAGAATTCATGGCAAGATACATGACTTTGAACGTCTTGATATACCATTGTACCTACTATCTAATGATAATATACATAGAGTTGCATAATAAAATTTATTCAAAATTAAGTTTTTATACTGTATACTACTGAGCAATCACATTCATTTAGAATTAAATTGCTAATGGAAACATGTACAAATGATATTTTAATGGTAATTCAAATGCAGTGAAGTTGCAAGTAATGTTTACAGTATAGTCATAATTAAAAATTCTGGTGCGCGCAACACACAACTTTCACTTACCCCTTTACTTTGATTAGAAATTATTTTCTCGCAATGATGGGCTATTATAAAATTTTTGAAGTGCATTTTAAACGGTGCTAAAACTTAAAGCTTACAGATAACAAATCATTAAGACCATTAAAATAACAAAAATCCTATTTACTATATTGACAGTAGGAAATAAAAACCACGTTACTCCATCTGTTTTTGTAAACCATATAACTCCACTCTCTGAGCTATACAGTGGGCAAAAAACCCGTTTTTTTGGCCGAAATAGTTCACTATATTTTTTTAAACTTGAAATAACAGCATATATCAATTACAAACTTCATTTTTTGTTAATTTTATGTAGTGCCAACATTTAAAATTTCATACAATTGTTATAACATTAATATTTCAATTGTACCAGAGACCAAGAGGCTCGTGGAATCGACGCCAAGGAGGCTCAACGCTGTGATAACCCCGAAAGGGTACCCTACAAAATACTAAAATTAATTGAGACTGATATTCATTATAATTTCTTTGGGTTAGTTAAATGTACGAATATTTTTCTTGTGCTTCGAATTTGAATATTTTTCATACAATACGAGTTATAAAATTTTACTTTTTTCTACAATTAATGCAAAACCAAATTTCTAATTATTATTTAATGTTGCTTCATGTTAAGATTTTTGATTAAGAAATATGGTGTACGAATACTTTTTTTGGCCACTGTGTAAGCCTTTTAGTTGAAAGAATGATTAAATCCAATTTCAACATTTTTAAGTAATGTCATTTTAGTGATATTTCTAGTTGAAAAATTTATAATATCTATACAGGCAGTGAGTAAGTTGGTTCCAGAGTAGATGATTGCCGTATTGGAATATAGAATTTTGAATAAAGGTATACATTTTCCCAGTATTAATATCACTAAAAATAATAATAAAAATGTTGAAATTGAAGTTAGTCATTCTGCCAACAAAAAGGCTAATATATGCCTTTAGAGATTTGAAAGTACATTTGTATATTTAAGCTATAGATGATTAGGGATTGTACGACTGTTAGTTATTAAATTTATTTTTCATTGTAAAGTTTACTAAAATGAAATTATGAGATTTTCGTTGAATGTCATAGATCAAAAGTTGTCACACTAATTGTAACTAAATAATGTTAGGATTTCACAACGGGAAAATCCATAAAATTATTAAACATTTTAATTTTCGAAAATATTACTCGATGACTTTTCAGAATAAACAGACGATAGACACCTAATTATTTAAATGTAATATCAGATCTGGAGTAATTAAACTATATTAAATATATTTAAGGTTATAAACATATGTTTTATACATCCATGAAATGTTTTTATATTTCACATCTGCTTTTATGTAAGGACGATGAAATAATACTTTTAACAATGGCATTGCCTTGATTTGGTGGATTTTAAATAATTTATCAAACTTGAAAACAAATTTAAAAGTTTACATTTAGTAAGAAAAATCTATATAATTTCCTTGGAAACATGTGATTTACGTTAAATAATGTTATTTTTCAGAAATTATTATTTATATTCGTCACCACCCTTTAGCTTCTACAATTTCATTTATTAGATATTATTGCTTCTAAATTTCTCCGCTTTCCAACGATATATTATAGTACATCTTCTGACTATTATTTCCCGTGAATCATTTTCGATTTTGATAAACATTTTTCTCCTTCATTCAATTATCAAATTATTTTAAAACTTATATTTAGTATTTTATCATAACTCCTAACAATGAAAGAGAGTTTTTTTAAATTAACCCAATTAAAGGTATTTTGGAGGAAGACACCTTGAATATTGGGCATTTTAATCCTGTAAGGCGACATCAACGTGAATAAGACTAGCTGATATTAAAGACCTCTTAATACTACACTGATATACCGAGTTTAATCACAATCGTTAGACCCATTTTCGAGAAAATCGTGATAATGTGTTCCACTGTTGATATAAAGTGGCACTTCCGGTTAGCCGATTTTGACGTAAAAGTTGCTGTAACATCTGAGGTATATAAAAATCTTAAATATGCAATTTCACTTTCATAAGGTTTTTCGATTTAACAAGACTTTTCACACACACACGTACACGCACACACACAGACCATATTGCGGGACTTGGTTGTTTGGACCTCAAAACATGTATTTCCGTTGAAAACTCAGATTTGAAAATTTTCACGATCGCAATACTGTCCCTTACTATATATTTAATATATAGATAAGTGAAAGTAAAAAACATGAAATGCAAACTACCCCTACTCTTTGCAGTTATTTTTCTCTAACTTTAAATTACTATTTTTTAATCCACAAATTAGTATATTTGGATTCACGGATATAATTATTAGTATATGTATCGAACCTCAAAAATTTATCCATAATTATATTTTTTATTTAACATTAGTCCAAATGTCGAAGCAAATTTTATTCTTGTTTTAAAATATTTTGGAAATTTTTACTGTTATCAGTTGTTAAAAAAAACTTGTTTACATAACCTCCTCTTTTATAGAAGGTTATAGCGCAATGTTTGAGCCAGTGTACCTCTTACCTTCAAAAATATTTATATTATAATGGGGACAAAATTGAGGAATGATTACACTGAAATTGAAGGCAGGATATGTGAGTAAATTAAAATTTTCCATATAATTGTTGGACTGTTCTTAAGTTTCTAATTACTTATTTCCTCTATGTTTCTCCCATTAAATGCTACTTGTCAAATCAAACAAGAATTCGCTACTATCAAAACTACTGTTATTATAATTTTGTAGTATTGTATTTTTAGACACTTGTTTGGCCTTGTGCCAATGATAGAAGCATGTATTCCTTCTGTTTAGAGTGATTAATACTGCAATAAAATTTTTCCTTAGGGTAATTGAAAAACTAGCAGCCATATTTGAAGGGTTTTGGATTGGATATCTTATTTTTCATAGTATGTATTTATCTTGGCTTCTAAAAAGAAAAATGATTGATGGATGATTGTCGCATCAGGTTACTTGTAGATATATTGGCCTTTCTGCTTTTGGATGGATGCTCTTGACATTTGATCAATAAAGTCAATATTTCTTAACTTGGCCCCAGCAAAGTTACTGAATATGTTGCTTTTAATACCAATACATTCCTTTTAATATAAAATATGTATATTCAAAGGAGTTAATCATTATCTTTATATAGTTAGAAAGAACAGACTTTTTTAGAGTGAGGGAGTGGCTATTAAAAACAAATAATGGTATAGGGGTATTAATTATTAGGTTTATTTAAGTTTGAGTTATTTTGATATATATTTTCACTGTAATTCACAATTCTTGCGGTATGACGTAAATATTTTTTACATTATTTTAATCTGTTTTTCCACGTTCTTAAATATTGTTAACAGTGATATTAAATTTTTTTTGATTAGTAATGTGTAATTTTGTACTATGTTTCACTAAGCAGTTTGTAAAATGTATATTTCATATGTAACGTATATACACAGAGGTAAAGCAAGTTATATATAGTTAATCAACTTATTTATTTATTTCTACAGTTATTAAAATATATTAGAATTATGATATTTGTCAATATCAAATTTTATTTTTGCGTTTTTCAGATTTTGTTTGACTTAACTACATCCGATATGTATATAATGTTCAATCTAAAGAATTTATCTGATTTTAATTTATTTAATTTTGTGCTTGAAACTAATGTACCCACCCCATAATAACTTTTTCAAATTAATTAAGTAATTGAATAATTAGGAGCTAATAAAGAATGGAGGAGGGAGACTAGTGGGAGTAAAGAAAGTTTTGTGATAGCTGCCAGGGTATCTATGTACCACTTAAGAATAAAAAAAAAGTCATTATAAACATTAGCTTAATCTTACATAAGATAAAGGTAGCTGATGAAAAACTGAAATTGAATAATGTAAGAAAAAAATAAATAGAAAATCAAATATTAGATCTATAGTTCAAGTATATTATCTGTTTTTTTTTTCTTTCAATTATGAAATTGTGTCTACTTTTATCTGAATAATCTTTTTCATTTACTTTATATATATCTCAGAATGTCACATATTTATATTATCTTAGATTCAACGATAAATTAATTTTCTAGACCTATTATTCTTATCAAAATATTTGTAATCGAAGAGTCTCTGTATGTTCTCTGAATTAATCTTCAACCTTCATATTAACAATAATAATATTATCGCTTACACTTTTTATTTGAAGATTCCATTTCTGATCTCTATTTTAATCTATATTCAATGCTTTTTATTTTTTGAGAAAATAAAATTCATATGTATATGTTTGCCAGAAAATTTTCCCCGTTATTGTTTATTAGTCCATGAAATTTTGTGATCAGTTCCTGATATTTATTGAAACTGGCTTTAAATGTATTTGTTGAATTAGATGATTCATTACATATGTTCGTAATTCTAATGCCAGTTTTCCTAAAATTTATTATGTCATCTGACCTTTGCACAAAGTTCAGGTCATTCCTCCAGGTAGTTGACATTTCTAAGGGCTTAAAGAGCAATGGCTATTAACTGCTTTTGTTAAGATAAAATTACTTAATTTCTTCATCATGATGGATTTATAGGCTTCATCTGTTCTCAGATAAATTAATTATTTTCTCAACATGACATAAACTCTTCATTATTTTGTTTCTGAATATCCTAAAATTCATGATTTTAGGTAGAAAATATACAGTTTTCCAGCTTATTTAAAATTCTAATCTCCTTAGTTTAGCAAATTAAAATGCTTTTAAGACATTGTAATTTTGTTTTGATATTGTATGTAACATTGCAGTTATTGGTATTATGTTTTATAACTAACAATCAATCAATTTGAGAAACTAGATTGATTAGTGAAGCTTAGGAATTAAAATGTACTACTTTTTTTTTGCAACAACTTCAATATTTCTTTTAAAAAATTATTTTTGATCTTTTTTACTTTTGAAAACTTTTCATTCATTTCCATAATGTAGGAATTATTTTTTTTAAATATCTACTATTAATTTGTAAACTTATTGAATATTATGTTTACGTGGTATTATTGTTACAATGTTTTTAGGTGATCATTTTTTCTTAAATTTAAACATCATTGTAGAATTTGATATTTCTCAATTTCATTTGAAGTGTCCGGTCATATTTCCAAATATTCACAAAGAAAAATAGTTTAGTTAAATATTTGTTCATATTTTTGGTCGTCTTGATTTATTAAATAGTTTATTATTATATATAGGTTTGAAAGTGATTTTGTATTCCTCAACTACAAATGATTTAATTAAAAAATTGTTTTACATTCTAAATAAAATGGTTTAGTTACATTATTTATTATGCACTTTTATCATTTTTTCTTCAAATATTTGATCTCTTTCAATTTTTTGTTTACAGGTAATTTTAAATAGATCTTTGATCCATGTATGGAAAGTAAATAAAGTTATTTCAAAAGAAACTATGATTCAAATAAAATTTTTGTAATTTATATTTCTAAAAATTAAATACACAATATCCTTACAAAAAAACAAAATATAATGATCTAAGTATTTAAAAAAAAAAGTTTTGATTTATTTTGAGTATAATAATAGTTTGATATATATTATTATTATAATATATATATATTTTTATTTTTTTGTATTTGTAGCTAATACCAGCTATCTAATTAAATTAAATGTTTTCCATTTTAGTGGAAATAAGAAATTCTTGAAGCATAAGAAATTATACCAATTTAGGTATTTTTTATCCATTCGTATTGAAAAAATAAAAAACATTACTTATAATTGTATATCTGAAAATTAAACGCTTGAAACTTTATTTTCTTGTATGCAGAGTCATATTAACCTGATAGTTGGAAATTGGGATATCTATTATTTAAATCTATTTAATGATTTCCTATGACAATACTATAATTATTATACAATATAATTGGAAAATTGCCAACATAAAGCCTTGAGTCTTTATAATACAGGTTAACAACTAACATGTCAAATTGACGGGTTAGTTATTTATCTGTATTTTAGAGACTCAAAGCTTTGATTATTGAAATTTTTCGAGTTATGTCCTAATAATTGATTGTATTTCTCTTTTTGAGTTTTTGCTTTTTTATATTACTATATTTATTATAATGATTATAAATCTTTTTATTTTTGACATATTTAATGTTTTTATCAGTTAAGACATTAAATAACAAGAAAGATTCTGGTCTGTAGTTGAAAACTAGTTTTAAACAACTTATTGATAGATTATTGAAAATTAAAAAACAAAAGTTTTAAAAAGTATATAATGCCCCTTTCTTTTATTTATTAAGAATATTTTGTTAAATGTTAGTTACTGATTAATGCACCTGTAAGAAAAAATTTCAGGAAGGTAAGATTAATTAGTATGTAACTCCCCCACTCCACTTCTAGTAGTACACCCACCCCCCAGTTCATTCTTGTCCAATATCCCTACCACTGCTCCTCTAGTCTTCCCTCAACTGCTTTGTTGTGAAGCAGTTCAGAGCTGTCCCTATTAATGTGTTGTAAAAAAGTTCCTATTTTTAACTCCAATGATGCCATGAGTATCGTCTATTTTCTTTTTTAAAAAATAACTCAGTGTGTTCCTTTTGTATTATTATTTGTTTCTTATTAAAATTACACTTTTGATCTCTGCAACATTTTAAACTTTTAATATCAATATCTTTTTTTTTCAAAATTTACATATTTTGGATATTTAAAAAAAAAAAAATAATTTTATTAATTTCTAACTGCGGTATACTAGAAAAGAAGTTTGATCAAGCTCGGTGATTAACTTTTAAATTATGGGTTTGGATTCTAGGAGGTCCTCCTATGAAGAATGACCTCCCAGACACCAGGCGAAGGAATTTCTGAAACAAGTTTTTCGCACAATGAAGAAAATCCTATAATTCAGACTGACGGAGCAGTTAATTCAACGAGGGGTGAGCCGGAACAATTAGTTTTGCATTGCTAATAGTTTATTTATCTTAGATTTCTAGATGGGCTAACCAGTCTTGGCTTATTTAACCTTGGATTTTATATGTTTAAGATTTTTTATTTGATGAAAAATTGGTTTATCTTTTCTTTAATTATACAAGTGATGTGAGAATATTCTTTGTGTATGTTTTGGGGACCGCAGTGGATTTATGACACTGATACCATATAATTACTTTTTCTTTACTTTAATTTCAGTATTTCATGGTAATAAAAATAATGTGAATTGCTTTATTTTATGTTACCGTTAAGAGAGTTCTTAAATAAAAAGACACCATTATCTAAATAAAGCGTATAAATGGACTGACACTTCTAAACCATAACAATTCATATTTTTTGCTTTCGAGAGTTTTATTGGATTTTTTATGATTCTTAAACCTTCAATGTTAAAATTACTTTAAACCATGATAAAAACCTTATTTCAAACCATTGATTTTAAAAATATTTAAATTAATAATAGATTTTTATGCTATTTATTCAAAATAAAATTATGTTTTATTGTTTATTCTTTTAGGTGATTGAATTTTAGCTTAATTTAATAAAAATTTTAATTTAGCTAAAGGTATTTTTGTCAATGAACTTATCAAAATTAATTAATTAAAGAAAAAAACTATACTTTTTAAAATTATATTAAAGTAAATTTCGAATTTTTTTGATAAGTGGTGGCAAAAACTGAAAAATTAAATTATTTGGTAATTACATTTTTAGTTTGTTAAGAATATCATATTGAGTATCAAAACTTGCCTAATTTTTAATTATTTTTTAAACATTGTATTTAATATATCTATTTTGATAAAATGGACATTAGAATTTCTGATGTCGATGTGAATTCTAAATTCACTATATCTTTCTTTCTCCTTCTCAACAGCCACCAAAAAAAAAATCAACAAAAATATTAAGTTCTATAAACAACATGATCCTGTGATTTTAAATTGATAATTGGCTTTTGTATTACTAAGAAAGTAAACTACTGGGTTACATGGTTGTCGATGCTTAAAACTATTTGGTAGGGATGTGTTTGATTTTAAAAGTAAAGTAAAGTAAGCAAGCTAAATAATTTGAATTATTTAAAACGTATTGATTTCCTACTCGAAACTGATGTGTATAAATAATTGGTCTTGAAGATTCCATAGTGAGCCTAATTCTCCGCAACTTTAGAAGTTCTTTACTTGAAATGTTTTTTGGGTGATTCACTCATTCTGTCTTAAGGATTCCCTGAACTAACCAATCTAATATTTCCTTTAACACAAACATCTCAAAATTACTCTAAGTTAAAACCTTTGCAAACAATAACAATTCTCAGCAACATGAGAGAAGTCTTTATAATACTTGTCAATTCATGTTTTTTGTACTTTAATTCACTTTAGATTCAAACTGTAGAACAGGAAGGGCACGTTATCCCACAGATTATCAACCTCTTATTAATTCATAATTAAAAACTCATCCACCGATATCTGGTAATTGGATGTGCATCAACTTCTGTAGATGGTACCTTGGTGCCGCCCATGATCTTAGTAAAGGATCTTGGACAGAGGTAGGCAAATTAGAAACCTGGACATGAGATAGGCAAAAGTGCTGCAGAGAGATAAATGGCTGCCTGCTTACAAATATATACACCCTTGATACACCCCAATTACTTCACTGAAATGTTATAATTATTTTCACCTTTTTTGTTAATTTTTTTTTTCTATAAATACTCAAAAAATTAATTGTAAGTTTGAAGAAAAACAATTGCAGCTCTACAGAGCAACGTTGCCTAAGACGTACTGACTCTTAGGTAAAGATAAAAGTCAAAACAATTAAACAGAAAGTAAGAGCCCAAATAATGTTCTTGTCACTGTTAACAATTTCCATAAGATAATTTATTTGATAAAGTTTAACAAAAGAGTGTTCAATAATTAATTCCATTATTAATTAAACCTGTTCACAAAATTAAATGAACTTAATAATTAGAGAGATGTGCTTAACTTCTATTAGACCAGCCTAAATCACCTATGTTCTTTCCAATGATATTCAATTTCTGACGACATGCTTATAATATATTTTCATATGAAAGCTTGTTGTTAAACCATCCCATGGAATAGTATTTGTCAACCGATATTTCACTCCAACATAGATTGATTATGTCATGCCCACTAATTATGTATATGCTTACAAATATTTACTAATTTCTCATTGATCCCAATTAGCATCTATTTATATAATTTTATATTATTTATAATAAAAACAGCAACAATATTTATATTTTATTGTCTTACTTTTTATGGCATGGCCTTAAGAATAATAAAATAAAAAATTCTTATACCCAAAATTTTATGTGTACTTGATTCCGGATAATCCATCTTTAACATGTTCAAACAATTTTTAGGAAATAAATGGTTCTAACAAGATTATTTAACACAAGGAATACGACCCTAAATTTTTTGTGAATATTCTTCTGTTTTGAAAGGTTAATAAATATATATATATAATTTTACGGATGTTTTGAGATAAGAACATAATAATTGTTGGTGTATTTATGTTAAAAAACAATATTTTTAATATATAGTTTTAAAGTTAGAATAAGTATCTGCATTTAAAGTTGAAATATAGCTTTTTATCCGCCTTAAGTGACGTTATAAACGTTGAGACTCGACCATAATTCGATCTCTTTGTTCCAATCATAAATTCAGAATCCACTTATGTTCTGAGATATTTGTTCCTAAATTTTTGAAATTTTCTACTCCCAAAGATAAGGATTTCTTATCGTACTTTTTATCTACCAAGCCCGCAAAAGCTAAAAATGATTTTAGATTGTCACTGCTTCTGTTATCTACTTTTTGGTTTTTTCGTTATTTTTAACAGCTAACGTGATATTTTTTATATCTAAAAATAAATATAATGTGGCTATAGTATGACTTTGAATAATGCACTAATAAATACCGTATTAAGCTAATTTGATGGATAATGCATGAGTAATGTGTTCGCATTCATTACCGTGACAGCAATGATTTACGATCGGTCTGATAAAAGCTACTTGTTGTTGATATATTGTAATATCAATGGGAATACGCTTCTTAGATTGCTATTGATTGCAAGAACAGTTGCAGTGCCTACCGGACCTAAAAAACTTGCGAGGATAAATCAGGAATCTTTTTTAAACCTGAAAAGTCAGGAATTTTACAAACTAGGGAACACGAACTCGACTTTGCTGTAATGATTCAGAATCATTATTTGGCGCAAGTATACTAGTGATACGCTAAGAAGAAGGATTTATGCCTCAGCTAAGAAAAAGTGTGAAAATTTCACAAAAAAATTGATAAAATGAAATGTGCAAAATATGATTTCGTCGCACTCCCATGCTTAAAATGTCATCTACACTGTTTCCTTCCTTTTGCAGAAGATCAAATTGGATTGAGAGTGTACAGTTGGCTGGATTATCGGTTTTCGGAAGATACTGTAAAAAAGTCAAGTAAAACGCCAAGATACACTATGTGTTCAATGATTTCAATCCAGTTTATGACAGCATAAACTGAGGTTATAGCTGAGATGAATTGTAAATTATGAGTGTTTATCCAAGTATTATGGATGTGTGTTCAAGCTGACACGCATTATGAGCTTTACAACGAATAATGTTGAATGCGTCATACAATGAAGGGCTAAACATCAGAAAGTTTTGTTTTTAGAAATGGAGTAGAGTAGGAGACAAACTGACGTGCCTTCTTTTCGCTGGGAAAAGACAAAACCAATTATCTGGTTTCAGACGAAGAATCGTACAAAATTGGAATTAAGATTCATTTTGGTCCTTTCAGATTTGAACAAGTGTCCGATCTCAAGTACTTGGGTTAGGTTAGGTTACGAGTTTTCCTAGGCGATCAACAACTTGGTTAGTACACCCCCTCACGTACTTGGGTTCACGAATTACAAGACATCTGTGAAAGTGAACCGGAGGGAATCGACTGTCCATCGCTGCTGTTCTTCATTAAGGAGGCAACTTTCAAACTAACTTCTGGTTGTGAAGCATTACAAGCCACTGATACGATCAATTCTCACACATGGCTTCGTAACTGCAAAGAAGGCAGAAGATAAAAATAGAAAATCATCTTCATACTCAAAACAGAAGAAAAGAAAATAATGTATAAAGAAAATTAAAACCTCGTTGCATAATATATACTTAGCCAGCATCTGATTGAATTGTGAAGAGGAATTGGAATAACAGGGTTTTAAATGTGGATAAGGATGGTGCATGGCGGATTTTTAATGGTATGAAATCGCAGAATACTGTGGAGCGTATAACAAAAGACTGTTTAAATGAGGCAGATTTGTGTAAAGTTCAGAAGGACGTATTCTTGTGGATTGATAATTTGAATTGTAGGAGATTGTATGCGTAGGACGGACGATGATAATTGATTATTTGGTAAAAGAAAGTTCCCAGGGAATATTGCCTTCGGAAGGAAGGAAAGAGCCACTTTAACTCAGTATAGTGGTAAGAAACACAGGAACGTCTCGGGGTCCCAGTGACAAATCTTACGAAGGCATTCATAATTCCAAGTTGAAGTCATGTTCCCAAGTTCCGCCGACAGGCTACCGTACATCACGCAGCCGTAATCAAGGTGGGGGAAGATAAGGGACGATACTAGGAGTATAGGTAGGAGATGACGGAAGCGATGGAATAGTTCTAAGGTAGCAATTGACCGTCGGGAGATGTGAGCAATATGGTGATTCCAGGAGAGGGTTTGGTCTATGAAAAGATCTAGATTTTTTACTGTGGAGCTGAAATTCATGGGCTGGTCATTTAGGTATAGGATAGGAATGTTGGTATTGGATCTGAGAAGTGGTCCAGTTACAATGGCTTGAGTTTTGGCAGCGTTTAATCTTAGTCCATTTAAGTTTGCCCAAGCTGTGATCCGATTTAGGTCTTCTTGAGTTTTGGCAAACGTATCCTGCAACTCTGAGGGAGAGAAGGAAA